ATCAGTTTATCACAATTGCACTGTCAGAGACCCAGCAATTCAAAACTGAATTTTAAAGATCCTTTTAGAGCAATAACCGGGAAGACTTTTGGGGGGTGGTTTTTCTTGTTATTTCTTCTTTTGATTTCTTTTGGCTCCCTTCAGAGCCCACAGTTCGTTACTAAAGAGAAGTGAAACATCTATTTAAGATCAATCCAATAATACTATGTTCCAAAGCATTAATTCCTGCCTGCAATCAGCTCCTTGCAGAGTGTTGTTTGCTTCCCCAGCCTGCCCTCCTCAGGTGTGGCCTACTAGGGTGGGGAGAATACCAGGTTTGTGATCACTGAGTGCCTGAGGTGTGGGCTCCTTCTGTATTGCCTTTTCACTGCTGAAGAATGAGACCTTCAGTCAGGCCCAAGAGGGTGAAGGGGTGGAGAAGCTTGCTGTGTGGCTCTCCTCCCACCCTCATCTAGGCCACTGTGCTTCCTAATTTGTATGGGTAATTGGCTACAGGCAGCAAAAGCAATTCTAAGGAGAACCAGAGGACTGGCAAGTCTATGAACCTCAGTCATAGGCATTTCAGTTGGTTTCTGAGTGGGCTGCTAAAATAATTACACTGTCTTATCAAACATTCTGTCCAATGAAGAAAATTAACATGGTAACTTTGCAGACAAAAGCACATTTTGGCCAAGGCCCCAAACTATGCATTTAAATAAACCTTGGAATTAATGCTGTGATTAGCATTAATATTTGCAAAGGTCATAAATTCATTATAAGAAATTTGGTTTAAGAGTCAAGCCAACCCAAGCTGCCCTGGAGGAAGGAAGATGTGGAATTTAAATCAGGTGTTCATTTGTGGCCTTGATACAGGGCAGATTGCCAGTCTCCTCTCAGGAGGTCTTGAGCCTGTTACTTGGTGCTCTAGAGTTCTGTGCTCAAGTCCTGATGGGGCATAGGTCATGGAAGGAGACAGAAAGGAAAATCAGATCTAGAATCTCTAAGAGCTCTGGTTCCAAACCTGGTTTCCTAGGGGGAGAAGAGAGAGAAATAAGTGGGCAGAGAGGAACTAGATAGAGGGAAACATAACTTTAATTGTCCACATAGGATTCCCTGCATCATGGCTTTACATTCTTCATTTCATTTCCACCTGCCCCCATCCTGCACACCTGTGACATTAGAGCAAAGTTCCCAGTGAGACTCATCTGTTTCAAACTCCGTCGACTCACTGTGGAAAAATTCATTCCTGTTCATAGGACCAATCACACAGAATTCCTGCAAATGAGCATTTACGTATTATCTTTATTTTGGGAGTATCTGGGTTTCTCATAAGACAATACTTTTTTTTTTCCTTTTCAGAAAAGGAGTTGTTTTGATCTTTGCAACCTACACCACTAGGACAGTGCCCGCTCAAGGGTGTTATGTCTCTACAACTTTGACCCCACAGTAATGGTACATTATCAGGTGTCACATGATATATTCTGATACCATCAGCCAAATTGAGGGCTTTCAATACCACTATGTGATAAGAAGTTTGTTTTTGGCTTTTTCAGTGGATTGCAGAAATGGTAGACATTTTTCAAAGTGCTCAGAAGGACACCAAAGAATTGGCTTCTAAATCTAACAGACTGATCATGGACCATAGAGTGAGCCTGGACTTGTTTAGAAAGAATGTTTGTAATTTTCCCATGGTTTAGCTATAAAGTGTTCCAGCCAAATCATAATGAATATCTGCAATTGAAATGATCAATACAAAATAAAACTGACAGCAACTAAAACTACCCATGGTTTATTGGTGGAGATTCACATGGTATCATTTAGATGTGCAACATTGGATTCAAGAAAACTGACTTGTTCAAAATGGTGGCAAAGGAAACTTCCTGATGGCAGAAATAATAACTAGTCATTATTTGCTATGGACAAAACTAGATCAGTCAATACAATATTTGTTTAAAAAGTTATATGGAAAATAATTCTTATAAAAATTAATTTGTTGATAGGAAATAGTTATGGAAAAATGGGAATGGTTTAATAATGATAATCTGTAAAACTGAGGACTTAAATAAACTCAGTAGAGTTCAAAACTGAAAATATTTGCCCCCTCCCACCCTCTGGAAGGAAGTACATCAATGTTGGTATAATTCTGAGTAAAATATACAATTTGATAACAAGGAGAAAGATGTCTCTATAGTCAGGGGTAAAACTGTAGGTCAAAAGGTAGGGTAAAAATAGTTTAAAAATTCTGTATTTTTCCTGACATGTACTCAATAGAAGTATAAGTCAGTGCTCTGTACTACAAAAAACATAATTTAAAAACTCTTTTTTTTTTTTTTGCTTTTGGCTTTTATCTCATTCTCTTTCTTTTTCAACAAATTGAATACATAATTTAAATATTATAAAGATATGTGGCCAACTTCAGTCTCCTTTGCACTTCTGACTCCACCATCTGCAGTGTCAGTCTCCAAAGGTCATTTACCAATTTTGTTGTGTTTCCAGAGATGGTTGGTACTGATGTTTTTTGAACATTTTTTGTCTATAACCCAGAAATGGACTCCCATTACAACCCATTATGCAATTATGACTGTAACAAAATTACATAAAACAATATTTACCTTTACCATATATGGTAAGGAAAACATAAAGTTGATATTAAATGATTTCATCAATATTTAAGTAAAACATAGAATAATCCAAAAATTAAAAATGCAAGCATTAAAGAATATTGATTACAATCTGCTAAGTTGATTTTGTAACCTACCAGTGGTTGTCACCCAGTTAGTAAAACATTGATCTCTACATTGATCTCTAATATATAGATTTACATATTCCAGTTTTTAAAAAACACAAACAGTAGAATATTTTTTAATTAAAATTTTTTTATTGGAGTTCAATTTGCCAACATATAGCGTAACACCCAGTGCTCATCCCACCAAGTGCCCCCCTCAGTGCCCATCACCCAGTCACCCCAATACCCTGCCCACCTCCCCTTCCACTACCCCTTGTTCATTTCCCAGAGTTAGGTGTCTCTCATGTTTTAAAACAGTGGAATATTATATAAATTGTACTGCATTCTTCCATTTGCACTTGAAATATTGGGAGACTATGAGATTATCCTGTGTTCGTACTTATAGGTCTGCCTATTCTTTTTAATGGCTACATTATAGTCCACTGTATGGATATACTGTAAGTTACATAATAAGTTTCCCATTTATGTGCCTTTAGATTCATTATTCTATTTGCTATAATAAATAGTACTGCAATAAACCTCGTTTAAAAAAATATTTTATTGGGATCCCTGGGTGGCGCAGCGGTTTGGCGCCTGCCTTTGGCCCAGGGCGCGATCCTGGAGACCCGGGATCGAATCCCACGTCGAGCTCCCGGTGCATGGAGCCTGCTTCTGCCTCTCTCTCTCTCTTTCTCTCTCTCTCTCTCTCTCTCTCTCTCTCTCTCTCCTTCTGTGTGACTATCATAAATAAATAAAAATTAAAAAAAAAAAATTTAAAAAAAAAATATTTTATTTATTTATTTGAGAGAGAGTAAGAGAGCATGAGCAGGGAGGAGAGGCAAAGGGAGGGGGAGAAGGAGGCTCCCTGTTCAGTGGGACTTGATCCCAGGACCCTGGGATCAAGACCTGAGCCAAGGCAAATGCTTAACCGACTGAGTTACCCAGGCACCCTGCAATGAACATCCTTATGTATGCTGTCTCTCAGATATATTTTTAGAAGTGGAATTTAAAATTTTGGTAAATACTGTCAAATTTCCCTCCAAAGAAGTTGTACTGTATTTGTTTTTTAGGTATTGACTTGATCAGTTCTTTATATATTTTGGATACTAACCCTTCATTGAATATGTCATTTGCAAGTATCTCCTCTCATTCCGTAGGTTGCCTTTTAGTTTTGTTGATTATTTCCTTTGCTGTTCAGAAGCTTTTTTTTTTTTTTAAAAAAGATTTTATTTATTTATTCATGAGAGACACAGAGAGACAGTCAGAGACATAGGCAGAGGGAGAAGCAGACTCCTTGCAGGGAGATCGATGTGGAACTCGATCCCAGGACCCCAGGATCAGGCCCTGAGCCAAAGGCAGACACTCAATCGAGGAGCCACCCAGGCATCTCAGAAGCTTTTTATTTTTATGTAGTCCCAATATTTTATTTTTGCTTTTGTTTCCCTTGCCTCAGGTGACATATCTAGAAAAATGTTGTTACAGCCAATGTTAGAGAGATTAATACCTGTGCTGTCTTTAGGGTTTTTAATGGTTTCCAGTCTCACATTTAGGTTTTTAATATGTTTTGAGTATATTTTTGTGTATGATGTAAGAAAGTGGTTCAGTTTCATTCTTTTCCACATGGCTATTCAGTTTCCCCAACACCTCCTTTGTCAAAGACTGACCATTTGATTGTGGGTTTATTTATGGCTTTCCTATTCTATTCCATTGATCTATGTGCCTATTTTTATGCCAGTACCATACTGCTTTTTAAAAAAATATTTTATTTGTGAGAGAATGAGAACATGAGAATGAGTATGAGCATGAGCAGGGGGAAGGGTAGAGGCAGAGGCAGAGGGAGAAGCAGACTCCACACTGAGTGGGGAACCCGATGTGGGGCTCAACTCCAGGATCATAACCTGAGCCAAAGGCAGATGCTTAACCACCTAAACCACCCAGATGCCCCTGTACCATATTGTAGTAATTAAATTACCACTTTGTAATATAACTTGAAATCTGGACTTGTGATACCTTCAGTTTTGTTTTACTTTTTCAAGATGGCTTTGACTATTTGGAGTCCTTTGTGGTTCCATACAAATTTTAGGATTGTATGTTGATAGGGATTGCATTAAATGTATAGATTGCTTTGGGTAGTATAGACATTTTACCAATATTCTTCCAATCCATGAACATGCAGTGTCTTTCCATTTCTTTGTGTCATCTTGAATTTCTTTCATCAATATTTTATAGTTTTCAGACTACAGGTCTTTCACCTTTTTGGTTAACTTTATTCCTAGATATTTTATTGTTTTTGGTGCAATTGTAAATGGTATTGTTTTCTTAATTTCACTTTCTGCTGCTTCATTATTAGTGTATAGGAAAGCAACAGATTTTCTGTTTTCAATTAGCAATAATTGCGCCTCGGATAAACCTCATTGGCTATGATACTGCCACTGTGCAAAGCTCAGATTTCTGTACATTATTTTTCTATCTTGCAACTTTACTGAATTATCAGTTCTAATTTTTTTATTGGAGTCTTTAGAGTTTTTGTTTTTCTTTTTAAAATTTTAAGTAAACTCCATGTCGTCCATGGGGCTCAAACTCACAACTCTGAGATCAAGAGTCTCATGCTATACTGACTGCACCAGCCAAGCACCTGTAGGGTTTTCTAAATATAGTATCATGTCATCTGCAAATGAGTTTTACTTCTTACTAACCAATTTGGATGGATTTGTACTTTGACTGTTTGATTGTTATGGGTAGGATTTCCAATACTATGTTGGATAAAAGTGGTGAGAAGAGAGATCCTTGTCTTATTGCTGATCTTGGGGGAAAAGCTTTCAGTTTTTCCCCATTGAGTATGATGTCTCCTATGGATTTTTCACATAAAGCCTTTATTATGTTGAGGTATGTTTGCAGAGGTTTTTTTTTTTTTTGTATCATGCATGGATGTTATACTTTGCCAAATGCTTTTTCTACATCTATTGAAATGATCATTATGGTTTTGATCCTTTCTCTTATTCATGTAGCATGTTGATTATTTGCAATTTTAAACCACCTTTGCATCCTGGGAATAAATCCCACTTGATCAGGGCATATGATTTTTTTGAGGGGTATATGATTTTTTAAATGTATTGTTGGATTCATTTTGTTAAAAACGGGTTGTGGACTTTTGTATCTATATTCATGAAAAGTATTGGCCTATAGTAGTTCTCCTTTTTAATGTGTCTTCATCTGGTTTTGGTATCAGGGTAATACTGGCTTCATAGAATGAAATTGGAAGTTTTCCTTCCTCTTGTATTTTTTGGAATAGTTTGAGAAGAATAGGTACTAATTCTTCTTTAAATGTTTGATGGAGGGCACAGCCCTCGTGGCTCAGCGGTTTAGCACCGCCTTCAGCCCAGGGCGTGATTCTGGAGACCTGGGATCAAGTCTCATGTTGGGCTCCCTGTATGGAGCCTGCTTCTTCCTCTGCCTATGTCTCTGTGCCTCTCTCTCTCTCATGAAGAAATAAATGAAATCTTAAAAAAAAATAAATGTTTTATGGAATTTACCTGTGAAGCTGTCTGGTCCTGGACTTTTTTTTTTTTTTTAAATTTTATTTATTATTTATGATAGGCACACAGTGAGAGAGAGAGAGAGAGGCAGAGACATAGGTAGAGGGAGAAGCAGGCTCCATGCACCGAGAGCCCGACGTGGGATTCGATCCCGGGTCTCCAGGATCGCGCCCTGGGCCAAAGGCAGGCGCCAAACCGCTGCGCCACCCAGGGATCCCTGGTCCTGGACTTTTATTTTTGGGAGTTTTTTGTTACTGATTCAAGTTTTTTGATGGTAATTGGTCTTAAAATTTTCAGTTTCTTCCTGCTTTAGTTTTGGTAGGTTATATGTTTTCTATATGTTTCATTGCTTTTTTTTTTACTTTTCATATCCTCACTTTCCTTTTTACTCAGCATCCCCTTTAATATTTCTTGTATATATGGTTCAGTTGTCATGAACTCCTTTAGTTTTTGTCTAAGGAATTTGTCCATTTTTTCTAGGCTGTCCAATTTGTTGGCATAGAAGTAACGTATTATTCTGCTACCATTGTTTGTGTTTCTGTAGTGTTGCTTTTTTTTTGCAGTGTTGATTGTTTTTTTCTCTTTCATTAGTGATTTTATTTGGGTTCCTCTCTCTATGTCTCTGGTCTCTCTCTTTCTCTCTCTCTTTTGATGAGTCTTGCTAGAGGTTTATCAATTTTATTGATCTTTGCAAGGAATCAGCTCCTGGTTTCATTGATCTACTGGGTTTTTTGTTTGTTTCTATACCATTTATTTGTGTTCTAATCTTTATGATTACCTTCCTTTTGTTGAGTTTGGGTTCTACTTGTTCTTTTTAGAGCTCCTTTAGATGTAAGATTAGGTTGTTAATTTGAGATTTTTATTTTTTCTTGATGTAGGTCTATATTGCTCTTAGAACAGCTTTTGCTGTATCCCAAGGGTTTTGGATTATTATCTTTCCATTTTCATTTGATTTTATCTCTGATTTCTTGGTTGGCCCATTCATTGTTTAGTAACATGTTATTTAACTTCCAAGTACTTATGTTCTTTCCAGATATTTTCTTGTGGTTGATTTCCCATTTCATAGCATTGTAGTAAAAAAAAAAAGATGCATGGAATATTATGAATTTTTTGAGACTTGTTTTGTGGCCTAATATGTGATCTATTTTGAAGAATGTCCCATGTGCACTTGAAAAGAATGTGTATTCTGCTGTTATAGGATAGAATGTTCTGAATAGATCTATTAAATACCTCTGGTCCAGTATGTCATCCACAACCACTTTTTCCCTGTTGATTTTTTTGTTTGCATACTTTGTCCATTGATGTAAGTGGAGTGTTGAAGTCCCCTACTGTTACTGTGTTACTATCAATTATTTTATTTGTTTGTCATTAACTGTCTTATGTATTTGGGTTTTCCCATGGTGGGTGCATATTTACAATTATTGTACCTTCATATTGCACTGTCCCCTTTATTATTATGTGGTACTTTTCTTTGTCTCTTGTTACAGTCTTTGAAAGTCTGTTTTCTCCAACATAAGTATTGCTATCCTGGCTTTCTTTTGACATGCGTTTGCATGATAAATGTTTCTTTATCCTCTTACTTTCTTTTTTTTATTATAAATTTATTTTTTATTGGTGCTCAATTTGCCAACATATAGAATAACACCCAGTGCTCATCCCGTCAAGTGCCCACCTCAGTGCCCATCACCCAGTCACCCCCACCCCCCACCCACCTCCCCTTCCACCACCCTTAGTTTGTTTCCCAGAGTTAGGAGTCTTTCATGTTCTGTCTCCCTATTCCCTTACTTTCAATCAGCATGTGTCTTTCGGGCTGAAATGAGTCTCTTGGAGGCAGCATATAGATGGTCTTGTGTTTTTATCCACTCTGTCACCCTTTGTCTTTTGATTGGAGCATTTGGTCCATTTACATTCAAAATAATTATTGATATATATTTATTGCCATTTTGTCACTTGTTTTGTGGTTGTTTCTATAGATTTTCTTTGATTCTTTCCTTGCTCTTTCATGGTTGGTGGTTTTCTTTAGTGATATATTCGGATTACTTTCTCTTTATTCTTTGCAATTCTGTTACTGGTTTTTGATTTGTGGTTATCATTCAGTTTGTATATAACCTCTTCTGCATATAGCAATCTATATTAAGTTTATGTTCACCTAAGTTTAAACCCATTCTTTACTCCTCCTCCCATGTTTTAGGTATATAGTGCCCTATTCTACATCCTTTCATGTTATGAATCTCTTGACTGGTTTTTATAGAAATATTTATTGCTTTTGTGTTTTTTTTTTTACTTTTCATATCCTCACTTTCCTTTTTACTCAGCATCCCCTTTAATATTTCTTGTATATATGGTTCAGTTGTCATGAACTCCTTTAGTTTTTGTCGAAGAAACTCTTTATTGGGACGCCTGGGTGGCTCAGTGGTTGAGTATCTGCCTTCAGCTCAGGGCGTGATCCCAGGATCTGGGATTGAGTCCCACAATGGTCTCCCTGTGAGGATCCTGCTTCTCCCTCTGCCTATGTCTCTGCCTTTTTCTCTGTGTGTGTCTCTCATGAACAAATAAATAAATCTTAAAAAAAGAAATTCTTTATCTCTTCTTTTTTTTATAAATTAATTTTTATTGGTGTTCAATTTACCAACATACAGAATAACACCCAGTGCTCATCCCGTCAAGTGTACCCCTCAGTGCCCGTCACCCATTCACCCCCACCCCCCGCCCTCCTCCCCCTCCACCACCCCTAGTTCATTTCCCAGAGTTAGAAGTCTTTATGTTCTGTCTCCCTTTCTGATATTTCTCACACATTTCTTCTCCCTTCCCTTATATTCCCTTTCACTATTATTCATATTCCCCAAATGAATGAGAACATACACTGTTTGTCCTTCTCCGGTTACTGTGGCCAAGTTCAAAAAGGGTGTTGCCTGAGTTCTCCTCTGGGATTTTGATGGAATCTTGTCTCACATTTAGATCTTTCATCTATTTTGAGTTTATCTTTGTGTATGGTGCAAGAGAGTGGTCCAGTTTCATTCTTCTGCATGTGGATGTCCAATTTTCCCAGCACCATTTATTGAAGAGAGTGTCTTTCTTCCAGTGGATCGTCTTTCCTCCTTTATCGTATATTAGTTGAGCATAAAGTTCAGGGTCCACTTCTGGGTTCTCTGTTCTGTTCCATTGATCTATATGTCTGTTTTTGTGCCAGTACCACACTGTCTTGATGAACACAGCTTTGTAGTACAACCTGAAATCTGGCATTGTGATGCCCCCAGCTATGGTTTTCTTTTTTAAAATTCCCCTGGCTGTTTGGGGTCTTTTCTGATTCCACACAAATCTTAAAATAATTTGTTCTAAGTCTCTGAAGAAAGTCCATGGTATTTTGATAGGGATTGCATTATACGTGTAAATTGCCCTGGGTAACATTGACATTTTCACAATATTAATTCTGCCAATCCATGAGCATGGAATATTTTTCCATCTCTTTGTGTCTTCCTCAATTTCTTTCAGAAGTGTTCTATAGTTTTTAGGGTATATTTTGAGAACTATTTGAATGGTAAATGGTTCTCCAGCCTTTTATTTTCAGGTTGTAGGTGTCCTTCTGTCTAAAATGAGTCTCTTGTAGACAGCAAATAGATGGGTCCTGCTTTTTTATCCAGTCTGAAACCCTGCGCCTTTTGATGGGGTCATTAAGCCCATTCACGTTCAGAGTTACTATTGACAGATATGAGTTTAGTGTCATCATGATATCTATTTAGTCCTTGTTTTTGTGGATTGTTCCACTGAACTTCTTCGTAAAGGGGAGTTTTAAGAGTCCCCCTTAAAATTTCTTGCAGAGCTGGTTTGGAGGTCACATATTCTTTCAGTTCCTGCCTGTCTTGGAAGCTCTTTATCTCTCCTTCCATTTTGAATGAGAGCCTTGCTGG